ACATACAAATATATTTGACATTTTATCAAATTTGGAGTTTGTTTCCTGAATAACGGATAAATACATATATATCATCCAAAAGAGTTTATGTACATAAAAATAGGGAGCAAAAATGGGCTATCCCAAGAAAGGATAACCCAAGATGGAGTTTGTTTCGTGACTTTATTTTTAACTTATCAAACTTATCTTCCAACTTTTTCATCAAACACCTAGAGTCCGTTTGGTGACCCCTTTTTTCAGCTTATCAGGCTTATCAGGCAGTTTTGTCACCAAACACGTAACTTTTGATTTCGCGCGCTGAAGTTTGTAATAAGCAGAAAAAGTAAGGTTGAAGTTACTTTTCTGGCTGTTTTGGCTGAAGTTACTGTAGAGTATCATTTTAGCTATTTTTCATATAATTTTTATTTAATTTATTAATAACAAATATGTTAAATATAATTTTTTCATGAATGAGTAGAATCAGCCAATACAGCCACTTCAGCTAGAACTTCATAAATTTCAGCAGAATAAGTCAATTCAACCGATTTTAATGTTACCAAATGGACTCCTAGTTTTTGACTTACACGTTAAATTGTGTAATCATCAAAATAAGTAAGGGTAGTAAAGTTACTTTTCTGGCTGAAATGGCTGAACACATTGCAGAGAACAATTGTAGCTATTTTCTTGTAATTATTAAATTTGTAAATGACATTATTAAGACAGTTCAGTCACTTCAGTCAGAATTTCACAAATTTCAACCGATTCAACCAATTTAAGTGTTGCCAAACAGACTCTTAATGGACAACTTTTTGATTAAAACACCCTCATCAACATCAAGAGGAACTCCACTTGTATCTAATGCTACAAGTTATGAGAAAAAATCTTATTGAAGGTTTCTATCCTTCATAAACTTTATTAGGGGTATTTTTTTATGTAGGATGTTTTTACTTGTTGTTTTCAGTCACAAACTAGATCAGACCAGCCCAGACTTGGAACTTATAAAATACACAGAGATCAGAAATTTATGAGATCAGATCAGACCAGATCAATTCAGACCAGACCTGATAGATCAACCAAACAAGAAAATTTCGTCCAAGTAAAAACATCCTTAAATGGACTTCATTAATTCATTTATATTTTGCCCCCAACAATTTTACTTTCTGGATCCACCACTGCTTTGTATATGATATGGTAGAGTGTCAATTATATGGACATAGCAAAATCATCCAGAATCGTATCAAATCGATTTGTATTGAACCATTTCAAACAACGACTTATAGCACAATAATAGCATTATAGGATTTATAGCATATAGTATAGATACAAGCCATTACCCAGAATTAAAACCTTTTTTGTATTGGATTAGCGGTAATTGAATATCATAAAAGCTAGGCATTTCTATGTCACCCTCAACTCCTCAAGGTACCGTACCTTGTCTAGATGGATCAATTAAAATATTGAAATTTAACGATGCAAATATCAATAAATGATGAAATAATGGCTTCCATTAATCAAATCGGTATCATAGCATTCAACTATTATTAATCATTATTTCGTAGTTTAACAGTTTAGGCGTTTAGACATCACTTCTTAACATTCCATCATCGGTACTTCCGCGACTACCTGCGTGATGATTAATGATTACATAAATTATTCTTGTACGTACACATTTTACTGTTGTACAAACTTTTATACACATCTATGACACACAAAACCTCTCAAACGTGTGTAAAAGTGTAAACAACGGTAAAATATGTATAAAAGGTATTTTTCTAATGATTATGGTAAACATGTCGTGGGTAGCTACAGTGCTAACTATTAAATTGTTTTTATAATTACATGTCACTCGTTTCAGTTTTGTGGTTACTTCTGTATTTTCAGTTTACGGCTATTAATTCTGTTTTCAGTTTATGCTTATCGATGGTTTTTTTCCGAATGGATCAGTGGTGAGTTTTGATCAACGTTCTTACTTTTTCTCAATTCTATTGGCATTTCATTTTCATTAAATGGATTGTTTAAATTTCAATGTTCAACTACTAATTTATGTGTTATTTACTCATTACATTTCTAAGAACTAAATGGTAATGAAAATATTGAAATACCGTCTAAAACTATACCAAAAGTTGGTAAAAACGGGAGAAATGGTATCTAATATTTAATTCATAAAAACCGTAATTTGGATGAAACACTTCATAGATCATCATTGTGTAGTGTCTCACCATCAATCCGGTGAAATAGATGGGATCAGTTTTGCTAGGTGTACACAAAATGTGTACACTTGTGTCCCCCGCAGACAAGTTGTCTGTGGACAGACAACTTTGTAGAGTTATCTATGGACAGATAACTTGTCTGTGGTGGACAGACAAGTGTACACATTTTGTGTACACCACGCATTTTTCTAGATGGGATAGTGAGGCGGTGGCACCACTTCCAAGGCCAATATAACGGCATTACGGCGAGTCTCTAAAGTCTTTCGTTCCGCTAAGTTTATCTCATTTTTTCTTTTTGAAAAATGAAAAACTAATGTTCTTGTATTTTCATGGAAAATTCAATTAGATCCACGTACTTTTAAAAGATTAATGAAATCCTCAACGATAACCTCGCGTGTGGCCTATATTTCATCTCCACTTGGATTTGTTTCTTTTTCCAATTTTTTGTACAAACCAAACTCATACATGCTCGACTCAATTATTAACGGGAGTTATTGAATATGATGACTACAGTGAAATGGCTATTTTTATACGGACTATATAAATAAAAATGTAATAATAAGGTAATAAATTTGAAAAAATATAATATCATTGTCAAATTTTATGTCACTAACAATTTATTATGTCACTAAAAGTTAAATTTTTTGGTGATTTAGAAAAGGAAAAAAGGAAATATTTTTCATCGAAAAAATTCCGGTGACTTTTCCGGTGACTTTTCCAGTGCGGCTGGGTAGATGTGGCGTGGGGGTTGGGGCTGGCGGTTGCATATAAATTAAAAAAAGAGAGAGAAAATTTGGATTAGTTGAACATAGTCAAATTTTTGAAAAAAGGAAAACGTACTGGTTATGTTATTTTTTGAAGGTACTAGTCATGTTTTTATATTTCAAAGGGAAAAATAATTAAAATACCTCGAACTTTGAAGGGGTGTGAGATAAACACCTGAATTTTCATACTCCCTCCATCCCTCAATTAAGTTCCCGATTTGACTTCACACTTATTAAAAAAAATAAATTTGACTTTACTGTGGAGTGCACTGTTCAAACACCGTTTGACACTGTTTTGTACTGTTTGACACTGTTTTGATGTAGATAATTTGCCAAATAAGGAAAGTAAAGAAGTGTGAACTTAATTTAAGCACTGCCCAAAAAAGAAAGTGGTAACTTAATTGCGGGACGAAGGGAGTATGTAATTTAAATACCTCATGATTATGTATTATTCCTTTAAAAAAGTAAATTTATGGTGTTAAATGTATAATTTAAAATAGCAAATTGAAAACAATAGAATTATATATAGTGGTGGGTAATACTATTTATTTTACAATGGAAGCTTAGAATGTTAATTATATCTTTATGAATGCTAAAAATTATCTAATTATGAAATAAACACCAAAAATTAATATTTTTGAAAGAAATAATACATGACCATGATGCTAAAATAATTTTTAATATAAAGTTTGGGGTATTGAAATTACATATGTAAGTTTGGAGTGTTTATTTCACGCTACATCAAAATTTGGGGTATTTTAATTATTTTCCTCAATTTCAAAATCTTAGAGGTAATATTTATGTCCTTTTTACATTAGTAATCCTTTAGTCAATAGTCTTCAATTGACATCTATCAACCTAGCTCACAAATACTATGGAGTATGTATGTTGACTTGTTGAGCATGTTTGATAGCGCCGAAATTGATTGAGTTGTTAAACTGTTGAAATTCTGGGTAAATTTAGATGAAGAAAAGCTAAAAAACCAAAAGTTAAAAAGTACTCTGCAAAACTATAAAGTAAAAAATAACAAAGCTATACAAATAAAAGCTAAAAAGCAAAAACAATAATTAGCAAGACCAATTTAAAAGTAATTACAACTTTACTTATTTTATTTACTATACAATGCAGCACACGAAACAAAAAATTAAATGTTTGATAAAATTGAATAATAAATCTGATAAACCAAAAATAGAACCTACCAAACAATCACAGTGAGAAATGAGACTAGCATGATATGTTTCTCTTACATATTAACGCTCGGTCAAGATCACATAGCAAACCATCACCGATTAAAACCAATTATTATTGGTAATTAATTTACAATATTTTATGTAGATCACCCAGTTGTTGTCTAGACAAACTTTGACCGCTTGCTTTTAGGGTTGTGATATAAATATAACTAAATACTTCTCTTTGAGTATCCCAAAAACAACTATGGGACTTATGACATGGTTTTGGTTAGGCTTGGACTCGGTGCGGGCCACCCGTCCCGCTACTGTGCGGGCTCGGCCCAGCCCGGGAAACCGGGTCCGGTTCCGGTTCGGGCCTAGGCCCGGGGGGTCTACCGGTTCCGGGCACGGGTAAGGGAAAAGGGGAACCGGCCCAGTCGGGCCGGGCCGGGCCCGATTCGGGCCTTTTTTTATTTTTTTTGATTTTTTTGGTTTGGGCTGGGGTTAGTTGGGCTGGGCTCGGTATTTCTGAGGGGTTTGGGGGGTTTGGGGGGGATGGGGGGTGGGGGTGAAATAAATAAGAATAAAAAAAATGAACCGGAACCGGCCCGGCCCGGAACCGGTCAAGACCCAGGCCGGTCTTGGGCCTATGGATACGGAGCCGGCAGCCCAGCCGGGCCTAGGCCCGACCCGACCCGACCCGACCCGAGTCCAAGCCTAGTTTTGGTTTAAGCAAAACATGAAGCGTTTATATAAATATCAATATTGGGTCGAGATCTCAGAAGTACAACCAAACAATTAGGTTTAATTGCTGCTTATACAACTGTTTTATCTCGATCGAACCCTTATGGTCGAGAAATGACGTTTTCTTGTTTTAAGACCACCCATCTGTTTTTATATATTGGATTCAATTGTCTCTCCTAATTAAAGCCCGGTTAATAAATGAACAACTACGTCAACAACAAAAATTGTATGGTTGAAATTAAATGAACAAAGACGGTTCATTTTTTATAGGATGATATCTCAAACATAGATTTTAACCCAGTAGCCTTTACACAAAAAATGTTGAGATTTTCAGACCTGCATTTTTGTAGTATAATACTCCTATACTGCTTTAGGCAATAGCATAAGTGAGTGTCTCAGCCTCCTTGGGGCGCCACATTGTCTTTTGCACACAAAGCAAACCTTCACTGTCCTTAGAGTAGGTCATCCGAATATCATAATGCATTGATTTGTACATGTTTTCAACTTCACTTGTAGTCTCCACCTTATCACGGACTATGAGCTTCCCACCTGGCCTCAAAATCCGATCCACCTCAGCAACCAACGCCGGTAAGCTACACCTGCAAGCCGCCATATCATAAACACTATTTAGTCACTCCCTCAATTTATTACAATCACATTGAAATTTATTGTGGTTTGGTACACACTTTGTCTTGATCTTGGAGAAGATATGATCGGCGTGGAGAAGGTCATAAGATCTGGGGTAAGTGTTGAATGATTCACACCAATTGTGATAAATACCAAAAAGACCCCTCTCGTATATTATAGGTAGAGTATCTGGCGCATCTATAGAAACAACATTCATGACCCATACATTCTTCTCCCTCAATGCAGCTGCAAATCTGTGGCCAAAAGTATATAATGATCAATATAGATAACAAAGTGCAGATAAAATAGATATAAAGAAATACGAAAACAAATAACACATGTACTCCCTAACTGAGTCAATACACCTCAGGGACACGAAACGATGTGCCTAGTATAAAATAGAGATGCCTTATACTACCGCGACTCTTTGAAGTAATAATTCTTGTGCACTTGGTGGAAAAGACAGGTACTTTCTCACCGAGGGCGGAAAACTGAGATTTTTTCTAATTACAAAGCTTTTAAATTTTCTTCTCTCTACCTCCCAACCACACCCTTAACAAATTATAACATTGTGACTACTGATTATCATTTTATTACTATTTCAAAAAACATCCCCATCTAACAAACGAGCCATGTTTGAAGAAAGTACAACTTTGTAGTTTTGGTGAAGTACTACTCTCACAGATCATCAACCCTACTTATACTTTTGCGTTGGTTTGACTAAAAATTTATTAACTGGTAATGCCAGAAATACATCAAGCTTAGACAGTATTTGGAGACATTCGTACTAGACATGAGAATGTTTACCTTCAATATCTCCCTAGCGTTACTCATTATATTGAAGTTGCTCATGATTCTTTTTCTGGCAAAGTACATGAAACTTAGACTGTTTGTGTGGGGGGATAACAGAGAACCATAAATGGACTGCTTACCCTCCATAGATAGCACACATGTCCATGACATTACGCACAGCGGACCAGTCAATGCCCATTCCGTTCCAATAAGATTTGGTCACCACTCGTTTCCAGTGTTGGTGATCTAGAACAAAATCATCTGGCGCTGGATTCCCATACACACCTGTCTGGGAACTAGCTAACCAGTAAGGTGACTTGTCCAACCTAGCAGGCCACATTTCAGGCCATTGAGACCCTCTCTTATATAAAGCTGTGGGAACTTTGTGCATGCAAGCTTGTAACTCCACATTCCTGAACACATTAAGAATTTAAGATACAAAAAAAAACATAAAGAGATTAACATGATATTCAAAACTGATTAAAACTAGCAAATGGGTTGCAGATTCTAAAATTGATCACTATCATCTGTTAAATGGAAGAAATAGTACATACCAGGCTGCATCTGGATCATCAGACTCTTCACAGAGTGGAGGATCATCTTGTGATCTTTGCTCGTAGCACTCATTAGAAGTAGGCTTCTGAAATATGGCAACTGCCACTCGATTAACTCTGTCCCTGTTTTTCGATATTAACTCCCAGCACATTGACTTGGTTAATTTCTTCATGGCTGCCAATAATGATAATAAAAAAACTTTCAGTGACGATCTATCCTCTGAATAATGTTGCGTAGATATGCGTGTTAGACAGCAGTTCTGGGTTGACTACCTTCCCAGATCTCAACATCCTCCTGAAGCTTCTGGTAGACTGGAGTGGCTGACCACACAAAGTAGCCTCCAGGGCGGAGCAGTCGGTTCAGCTCAAGAAGAAGTTTCCCACCTAGGCAGCATATATAAAATGTCAACCAATTTGTATTCAATTAAAAAAATTGTTTTGAATCAGTTACTGTTTTCAACTTAAAAAAAGAATTTATAAAATGGAGAAAAGGTCAGCTCTTCTATAACAAACATGGTGAACATTGTTGACTATGCATCTAGTCTAGCATTTAGTGTAAAATGATTATTGAATACCTTCAATATGCCATGGCACCCTGCACCGAGCACAATGTACTACATCAAAGACTCTCCCGGGGAATGGAAGTCTCTTTGTACCCATGACAGCAGATATAGCAGGAATGCCCCTTTCGAGTGCAAACTGAACCTGAGCTTCATGTTCATCTTTGGGTGCTAATGACATAGCCAATACATCTCTTTCAAAAAGATAGCCTCCAAAGCTAGCAACCCCACACCCAACATCTAATATAACACGTGAACGTGTTCCCCAGGCAATTTCAGGCACAGACTGCAAAAGTAATGCAATCGTCCAGATAAGCATCAAACTGTTAGGTGATCGTTAGAATGATATTAAGACATAACAGCTAACACTTTCCTCTTAGAGAAAAACTATTTTTGTCACTCCAGGGTCTCAAACTAAGTTCTACCTTAAGATGAAAGTAAATTGAAAATAAAATGAAGGAAAAATGCATCTAAAATATGGGTGGTCATCTAAATACTCAGAAACAATAGCTGCAACTGGAACTACACCCATTTAACTGAACAAATGTGTGTAAAGCCACACAATACTTTGTTTTAGCAACATTCCCAACTTTTGAATCTACTGAAATGAAAACATCAATGATCTTTTATGAATGTTTACTTATCTGGACATTTATTAATTCTAACTGACCATTTCATCTAGCTACAGACCTACAGCCTACTCTCGGCTCGTGCTTTACCATTTTAACTCTTTCATTTCAAATGAGAGCTTAGAACAAAATTAATAATGAAATGCAATCAATAAAGCCCGATGTTTAACTCAAACAACCTGCCCTATTTATTGAACAACATTAAGACTTTCATAGTTCCCCAGAGTTTGATCACATGGTATATATAGTGAAGGATCAGAACACATATGCGATGATAACCTGCTGTATAAAATCAATATAATGAAGTGCACCATGCTTAAACTGGGTTCCACCACCGGGGAAGGTAAGATATTCACCGCTAACTTTAACCCAATTTTGACGTTCTTTAAACTTTGCAAGCTTGGAGTGAGGAACATTATGATACCATATCTGCAGGCGACAAATATTGAAACACCGAGCATAAATAATCCCGATTCCTGAATAAGCGAAAAATCAAACTCTATTCATAGCAAAAATTGTAAATTACCTTGTCCCTACTTGTAGGCCACTTAATTGGGGGTTGATATCCTTTTGGAAGTGAAACAAGACAAGTGGGAGTTGGATCTGGACAATGTCTCTCCCTGTGTTCATAATGCTTTGTACTTCTTAGGTTCTTGATGGCTTCCAAATTATCAAGGCAGGGGATGAAATCTGGGCCAGCGGTGACATTGCAAAGTTTCCAGATGTACCCGTTGTCTTTATCTGATCCAGATGACTTTTTTGCTTCCTTTGCATTCATTGATTCAGTTGCTTGAGTTGAGAATGGCCCATTCTGTGTGGTGGTTTCATTCAAGAGCTCATCTTGAGCGACTGACGGAAAACTGTCATCAGAATCCTCCTTTTTCTCATCCAATCCTTCTAGATCTTTCTTGTCTCCAGCCTTACCTATTTTATAGCCATCATTAGTTTTACCAGAAGTCTTTTCAGGCTTCGTTTCAGCATCACTGTCATCACGATTATTCACATCTGATCTTTCTTTGTTCTCTCCTTGGCTAGACTTACTTTTACTCAGCTCTCCTTCCAGATCCATCTCGTCCTGAACTATCTCTTCTACTTTTCCACCTTTTCCTTTAGCAGAGGCTTCCTTTCTTTTCTGAGCATTTGTTTTATTCACAAATGTGTGTTTTCCAGCAGGCAGATTTTCACTTTTTTCTCCTGATTCTAGAACTTTATCTCTATCCATCACTTCTCCATTTTCATTATTTTCTTCCTCAGTTTTCTCAGTCTTTGGATCATTGATTTTCTCTACCCCAGACTTCTCTTCTGTCTCCAAATCTTGAATTTCTTCTTGGGGGTTTTCTGTTTCTCGGGAACTAGGAGTGTTTTTCTTATGCACATCACTCTTCCCTTTAAAAGATTCTTCAGGTAGATCAGCAGGGATATCCTCATGCTGTCCTGATATGTCCACCGCACTTGAACTACTATTCTTGTTACTGGCCTTGTAGTTCTTATTGACACCACTTGTATCATCTTTTCTGCTAATTACTTGTGTATTTGTGCCATTCTTGGTCTCCGGTGATGACAAATCCATATTTTGTACAGGAACAACAGACACTGAAGTTGTCATCCACAGTCCAACTACACACATGGTTATAAAAACCACAATGGTCACTATCGAGCAGTAATTCGATGATTGTTTCTTACCATCAACCCTGCTGTACTTCCCCAAAGCCATTTCCTTCCAAGCTTTGTAATGTGGCTTTCACAAAACCCCCTTTCTTCACCTAAAGGTATAATACAGAATAATCACTTCAACCACTTTTCATGAGCTTTGAAGCCATCCATTTCATGTAAAACACATTTATTTATTTTAAATTTGGGAAAATGTGAACGCACTACATACACTACATAATAAAACGAAAGCATATAAAGGCTCCAACAATTGATAGCTGGTACATCGTACATCCCATAAACAGGTATAACCGTATAAATGTGCTGACTCTGTTAAATTTTACAAATGAGCCAGCATAACACCACTGATTATTTAACAATTCGTATAAGAGTATTAAGATATGGAACTTTTTAAATTCCCAGTCCAGCCCATGTAGTTCTTGGATCCACCCCATGTAGTTCTTGGATCCACCCCATGTATTAAGCTTTGGATCCACATTACTGCTTCATTTTGGATCCACCATTTGTAGTTGAGATTTATGGAGGACAAAGAAATAATAATAATAATTATTATAATTTTTTTTTTCATTTTCATTTACCCCAGTGCCGCAAAGGCTCCTCATCTACGGTGGGGTAAGGGAGTCGGATGTACGCAGTCATACCCTTGTACTAAACCACAGAGAGACGGTTTCCGGATGACCCATAGTGAAAATCGTGTCCAAAATTGCATGGACTGACTGCTTCTTCATAATAAAGAAGCGCAGACTGTTTAGTGAGCCATTTTGCTTTATTCTACCATAATCTCAAGCCAAAAAATAATGAATCTTTGGCTCCATCGCAAATGATGGAAAAATAATAATAATTATAATAATAGTACTACCTCCGTCCCGGAATTATCTCCTTATTTGACTGGGCACGGGTTTTAAGATAGTGGGAAATATGTGGTGGAGAGTTGTGCAGAGGAAAGAGAAATGTGTAAGAATGGTTGTGAACCACAAATTCTTTGTCAAAAAGGAAAGAGGAGATAAATTTGGGACGGACCGAAAAGGAAAGAATGAAGATAATTCCAGGACGGAGGGAGTAATAATTTCTAATAATAGTAATAGTAATAACTATAAAAAAAAAACTTTCCTTAAAATTATATTGAACCATTTTTTGTAAGGGACGAGAACAGGAAATGATTTCGTAGTAAAAACATCACTAAGGTCTGTAAACATCATCCAGAGTACATTAAATGGCCATAATGAAGCAAAAGAAAAAAAGACCACTCACTGGCAAAGCAGAATTCCCAAATAAATCATTAGCAGACAGCAGATAAAGTAATAACCGTAAGAAGATCGCATTTATTAAATATTCACATGATATTCATGGAAATAAGCATACCACTAGAGTTTCAGGATTGAAACAAGCTTAAAAGGGGATTGGATCTGGAAATGAATTTAATGCAATCAGAGCATAGATAGACACTATGCTGCGCATAGTAGTCAATTTAAATGAGGATAAACACCAAATGCTGCGCATAGATAGAAAATGCCATGGAATTTGAAGAGGATTTACCTTATTCGTCGATTGAGGATGGTCGGAATGAAATTGAGGAGAAAATCAATGAGATAAGAAGGCGAGTGCCGTAATGATCATGATCATAATTTGCTATATTGGGAGTGAGATTGAAGCAAAAGCTGAAGAGGCAGGGGAAGAGCTGGACTTGGCAGTGCCCAACTAGTACACTTCAAGTACTGCGGCGTCACGCGAAGAATACGCTCTACCGGCGACGGTCACGTAATATTTACATCTGTGTGCATAACTTATTATACGGGGGAAATGACAAATCGATCTGCTTTCTGTTGAAAAGAGCAACCCATTTCTTGCTGTTGGTCCGGCGGGTATTGTGTGGGGAAAGCGGTTTTGGTGTTTTTGCGGATTACGGACATTTTCTCTTTTGCCAGAAAGTCTCCAATTTTACTTTTGCGGGATAAACAAAATCATCTCATCAGATCAGACAGGTGAAAATGGGTCCTCGATTGTCCTTAAAATTTGTCTTTCGACGCCTTTTAGCAGAGTCTAGCGGCTATATTCTACGGGCTTAGCAGGAGGGCCGGCGAAGGCCCGACCGCCCTACGCCCATACAAATGAAAACAAACTAGTACCATTTACAAAAATGCTACTTATATACCCGACTTACACATTCATTTACATGTCAAATGTACTTTCATTTTAGTAAATTCCAAGAAGTGAATTGTACATGCACAAACAGTTCGAAGTTAGAGACAATTCTCTAAAATGAAAATCACTTTTGTATGCACAAAAAAAATTACATTTGGCGTGTAAATAGGACTGTAAGCTGACGTGTACAAGTAGTATTTTGTTTTGTTTAAGCGAACATCTTCTTTAGCTTTAAAAACCTACCACCTCCGTCCCTCTAAGTTTGGGACAAAGGGGTGTGATGTGGTTTTTAAGAAAAAGTTGAGTTGTATGGTTGTTATTAAATTGATAAAGTGTGAATAAAGTAAGAATGAATTCTAAACACTCAAACATTACCAAATATGGTATGAGACAAATTTAATGGGACAGACGAAAAAAGTAAAACGGGACAAAGTTAGAAGGACGGAGGGGTAGTATTTTTTCTTTGTTCACTCTTTTAATGTAGAGGGTGATTCAACATAAAACACCTTACATGACTAAATTGTGATTGAAATTTGTGGAAAAGGGAGTGAAATGATACAAACCACAAATTATTTTATACTCCTTCCATCCCTAAATCAATGTCCTAGTTTCACTTCACATATATTAAGGAAAAAAAATTAACTTCACATTGTAGCAACATTGTTTGATATTGTTTTAAACTTTTTGACAATGTTTTGCACTGTTTAATACTACGTATAAATTTGTTTACCAAATAAGAAAATTAAGGAACTGAGACTTTAATTTAGGGACTTCCATTTTGGAAAAGTGAGACTTTGTTTTAGGGACGTAAGGAGTATATGACAATTAAAGATTTTTACGTACAAAGTATAATTTGCAATTCTTATTATTTAAAATATACTGATCATAGGATATCACTTACTCCGTAAAAATGAAATTCGAACCATTTTTTGTCGGTTCGGGGTGCGGATTGAACCTTTTTTTAGTCCAAGGACTGATTTGAGGTTACACGACCGGTACAGGGGCCTATTTGACCCTTTTGCCAAAATCTTTTGTGGGGTGTCCAAAAATGATAAAAAATGTTAAGTTTGTGCATATTTGATCTATTTGAAGCCTTCGTGTCATATATGGTATTCACTTATAACCATAGTGTCCAAATTACATATTGCATCTGACACCCATATTACATATATAAAATTAAAAAATTTGTTGATTTTTTTGGGCCCAAAAACACATGAAATACAAATCTTTAATCCATTGGGCCTCCATAAATAACTGAGCTTTACATGAGATCATTTTATTTTGTATTAAAATTGGAAAAATAAAAAACTATTAACGATTTTTTAATTTCTTAACATCAAGATATGTTTTTTTATTTCATAACTATTCATAAAAAACATAAAAAAATTACTTATAATAATTTAATAAATGTTACAATAAACCGATATGTAAAACAAGTATGATGAGTGTATATTATTTACAGTGCTAGAATGCAGGGAAAAACGATAGCGACGGCATCTAAACACTGTGATGGAAAATAGGGGTATCCAAGCATATAATATTAGAGAGATAAGAACTAGATAGAAGGAGAAAAAGGTGTATAATATTGATTAGAGTTTTACAAGAAGCTCCAAGAAGAGTACATATAAAGAAAGAGCGGGCCAGGCTGCTAATATGACCCCGATCGATAGTCCCAACTGCATAAAAAGTTAATCTAGTGGATACAGATGATACGTGAACTGTACAATAATATCAATGATGCTCGTTAAGCGTGTGTGGTCGTTGTCCATGGCCAATAGCGGTGAGACCGGGGATCCGAGTCTATATCACACTGTTTTGATATTGACGGAGTTCATATATAAATTTCTAAACGGCGCAGGTAGGGTTGTAAACGAATCGAATAATTTTGATTCGATTCGTGATTCGAATTCGAATATGTGTATTCGAATTCGAATAAATAGAATACAAATAAGAATACGAATCTAAAATTATATTCGAATGAATTCGAATACGAATACGAATAGGGTACTATTTGATTCGAGATATATTCGAATATATTCGAATTCGAATAAGCTTATTTACGTTTTGCTTCTTTTTATTATCTATTTAAACAGATTTGATATTGCTTAAGCTTGTGGATTCGTTTTATTTTAGATGGAATATGTGCTGTGAAAATTGAGAAAAAATACAAAACTTTCATCATAAATTCGATTGGTCAAACATATTTTATAATTAAAAAATTTGAATTCGAATATTCGAATAATTTTCGAATATATTCGAACAAACACACGAATCGAATACGAATAGAGATTATGGTTCGAATACAAATCGAATACGAATCCGAATATTCGTGAAAATATACGAATACGAATAATTTTGCTTAGTATTCGATTTGATCCGATTCGTTTACAACCCTAGGCGCAGGAGCACGGAAAGTCTTAGAGCATGTAATATATTAGCTTTTATTGAGAATAATACTATTTTTATTAAGATAGATAATGTGAACTTCTAAATAAATTATAAGGTGCAAAAATTTTAGTACATAAAATAAATGTTGTTCAACTGAAATTATTTCAACGCGTCACAACTGAACTTAACAAAGGTGGGGGGAACCGTTTGAGGAGGAAGAGGACCTAGAGGTGGGAGGGGATCTAGAGGAGGCAAAGGTAGAGTCGAGGATAGAAATAAAGTGCTTTCTATATGCCATTTCATTTACATTTGTTTTTTTTTTGTATCTTGTGAGACTTGTGAAAATTTATTGTAGGTACTAGAAGGGTTTGAGGCATTGATTGCTAATGATGGCTCCACATATGCATGTGTAGTGTCGTTTTGACCCCAACTTTTGTTCTATATGAGTGTTTGGAGTGTCTTACGCTTTGTCGTTCTCTAATTTCACATCTCATCCCAGGTGAAGCAGGAGGATTGAGACTAGTGACAGATCAGAAGGGTCAAATTCTGAAGCACCTATTTCAAAACTAAGCCAGGGTTCCAGCTTGGGTAGAATTTTTGAAGTTTGTTGAGATCGGCAAGATAGATATGGTCATTAATGGATCTTTGTAATGTGGTCATGCATATATCTCTCTCGTGATCACCTTTTTTGTAATATGCGCTTATAATTTGGTTGTGTGTATGTACACGGTTGTGCTACATGGTTTTGTATTCAAAAGTAGTCCTGATGACCGTCGGCCTAGGGGGTAGCCAGAATCCGGGAAAGTAAGATAGACTGAAAACTGTGAAGTAAGATCGGGTAGAAAGTTGGGCAGAGTAACAACAAGTTCTTACAGCAAAAATCGGATCTCTTTCCACAAGCTGGAAGGTGATATTTATACTAAGGGATAAATATTTGGCCAATGAGAAAAATGATGTTATTCTATTGTGGTGAAAACACGTGTCTCACTTACCTAACATAATAAATATACTAGTCTAATAACATGGCGACGCGTGTAAAGGTGATTGGAGAGATATCCGAAACAGATGGCTGATTGGTACTGTGCGTAACTGATTTGTACCAGAACCACCATGTGTGCCACACGTGTATAATCTGGAATATTCCTTGTGGTAACTGCCAGGGTGGTGTGGTCCTTGTACAATGGTAGTGACGTGGTTGTGGCTTGATACTCAATTGCTGAGATGTCTAAGTGCATAGCTGGCTAGTGAGGCCCCGAGTTCCGCACACGAGGTCGGAGCTCGGGTACAGTGAGCTTGTCTCGGGAGTTTGATTATGGTCTTCTGTTTGCCCGATAGCGCCAATTTCCTTGCTTCCATTGACTCCAGTTGACTTTGGTTTGACTTTACACCCGAGATCGAGGTTAGATCTGGTGCCAACCTTGACGGGGGTCGAGCTCGGATTCGGTCCTGTCTTGATAATCTGGGGGCCTGATGTGGGGCCGACCTCGGGTAGGTCGAGGCCGGCCTCGGTGGAATATCGACTTGGTTTTCTGGAGACTTTTTGTGTGTGAATGTAATATACTCCATCAAGTTCTTATGTGTAGGATAACAATTACATACCACTTGTATTTTGGCCCATATTTTGTATCTCCTTTAACACTAAAAGAGTTGTTTAATTCTTTCTATTAAGTCATGTTTGGATTAAGACGTATGTCAGAGTTAAGATGTCTATCTGGATTAAATGATATTTGTACATGAGGGTGTTTATTTTGCATGTTCAATAAACGGTCTCAATCGAGTAAAATAATCAAGTTAGTATTATTCTTAGATTATAATGTCAAAGAAAAACTTCATTTATTAATATAAATATATTTCACAATCAATTTGAAAATTTTGACAGAAAAATCGTTTTAGTAATACGTCTGAATGTCAATGACTGTTATTCTACAGGTTAAGGATTAAATCAGATTTTTGACCGAATGATTAAGTCATGTCTCCAATTAAGTTGTAAGTAAACATGCATGACTTAATGACTTAATGATTATAAGTCGTCATTGCCATTAAGTCCATTAAGTCGAAAATAAACATTGGTTGTGACAAAGGTGGTTAGAGTATTTACTTTTAATTAATGCATTGTAAATGAAGTTGGAACAATAACTTTAGAGCACCAAATTATCTTTCCAACGAGATATAATACACTCTAAACGGAAGAACACACAACAAGACATGAGTGTCACAAATACCTGAGCATTGTCTGCAATTGTGACATTGTCTATCGGTTGCCTTTATATGCTTCATCTAACAGTGAAAGTCTATTATTGTGAATTTGTGTGTGTCGTTCTTAGATGTGTTACACAATGCTTCAATATATTATTTCTATAAATAATGTCATATACTACCTTCATTATTTTATAATTGCAACAATTTGACTTTCATTTTTGCTAACACACAACGTTT